CATGTATAAATAGAGGGGGAGCGTGAGGCTTCCCGGTATCGCTTGAGAGAGCAATTGAGTTGAGTTTTGAGTTAGGGTTTCGAGTTTAGTCGAAATTTTTGTAAGGAGTGCTGTTGGTGCACTTTGTAAACACAGAGAGAATCAATAAAGTAGTCATCTACTTTAAGAGTTCTTCGATTTGTGTTTCACCGGGTTTCGGCGGTCTAACCAGTAACTCACCGGCGGTCAGACCGGCGACATTGCGGCGGTCAGACCGGCGGGAGCACTGCGGTCAGACCGACGGCGGCGACAGGCGCGGCATGCGACTTCGGCGGTCAAACCGGAGATTTAACACCGGTCAGACCGGCGGCATCCACTCGGTCAGACCGGCAGATTAATCTCGGTCAGACCGATCTCCGTCGATTTCGAGGGTAACTTTTATTTCCGCTAAAAGTTTTCGGTTTTTGGGTTTACCAACCATTCACCCCCCCTCTGGTTGGCTTAGTTCTTGTGATTCAATCCTACATAGGCAACAACTTGCCATGTGTTAGTGTGGACTCTAATTGTCTTCATCTACACGCTTTTATAACCCACCCATGGTTCCAACTCATAGCCTATTATATTTGAAGGAATTTCATGGGAATTTTAGAGAAACCAAATAGTTTCATTTGAAAATCCTATAAAATTTCTGCTTTTCCAAGAAGCTCTTAAAGTGGGTTACCAGCTCATCGATTACCATACTTGGGTCACCACCACGTCAGCACGGCCACCATTGTGGCAAAACAACCTCATATTTGAAACAACTTTCATATTTTAGTAGGTAGTTCATGGATTGAAGTCAAACGATCATAATTCTTCATTACTTGAGGGGTTAATTAATTAGACTTTTGTAGTTCTTATCCACCAATAGTTACCGATGTTCCACTGAAATTATGTGAAGCCCAAAGGAAAAATTTGTGTTATACGGTTATCTTGGAATCTATTTTGTTTAGATAAATTTCATAAGACCTAAGATTTTGAGGCACATGTACCATGAAATTAGCTTCAGTTTATTCTTTTCTTTTAATAAGGGAAGCATAAATTTTTGGGGTGTATGTATCACAAAACCACAACTAAATCTGCTACTTCTATCAGCTGGCAAGTAGGTTCTTGCTTTCAGTGAAAGATTGGTCTTCTCCTTGCCCAGTTGCCCTCTTGGTGTCCCATCCTATGCGTGCACTCCTATATTTTTTTTTTGATAATTGAAATGGGTCGTATCTCCGGACTCTGTATGCACTCCTACATATTTCCCATTTTTCGTTGGAAGTACCTCGGAGCAAATTCAAGGCTAACCCATTTATCTGTGCCTGATCTCCTAGGGTAGAAAGGCCTTGTAGAACAGGGTGATGTCGATGCTTTGGGTACAACCAGGTCGTTAGGTTGTTTGGGACAATCCTGACAGATAGAAGATCCGGTTTGCACACCAGTGGTATCAATTTCAGACCATGTTCAGCTTTCCATCCTGATGCCTACCATTCCAATTTCATGTCGCAAACTATCAAATATTTACTTCTCATTAGCTAAGTTGCATGGCTCAATTTCATGTCGCAAACTATCAAATATTTACTTCTCATTAGCTAAGTTGCATGGCTAAATTAATGGTAAGGAAAGGTCAATGGAGGTTACAAAGAAGGGGTTTAGATGGGCAAAAATAAGTAGCTAGTGATATGATGAAGAAACTGTATCTACGAACAGCTTCTCTCCTCCATAATTTTAGGCTGTATTTAGTTCAGCGCAAAGTTTAGATTTTGGTTTAAATTGGAGATGATATGACTGAAAAGTTGTGTATGTATGACAGGTTGATGTGATGGAAAAGGACTGAAGTTTAGATCTAAACTTTGGATCTAAAGACAGCGTTAGTTCTCTATGTTCCCATCCCTACGCATATAGGATGGAGCTGCTCAATTTGAATCATGGAGCCCGGGCACCATGGAGCACCAAACAAATTTAAATTTTGTAGCTGCTGGATGATGACTAAAAGACTATAATTTTAATTGACCAACCATGTTCAGGATTCAGAGAAATTTTATACTTTTTAGAAAAGTACCTCAAGGTATCTAAATTTTACACTAATTTTTTTATCTCGGAGTACTTAGTATCTGATGGCACCAAATTTTACACTAGAAAGAGTGGCACTTCCCGGTATTTTTTTTTTCAAGGATGATAAAATTAGCCCTCGTATATATCATAATACGACTAAAATTGTTCCTGCAACCTTCCGATTGTTTACCCGTAGCCCTTGTATATATCATAATATGACTAAAGTTGTTCCTGTATAGAAAGTAGAAAAAAAAAAGATACATGACCCCAAGTTTATATGGGGACATGAAGTTGTAAAGAAGTGTTCGGCCACTAACGATAGTTTTCTCTTATGAAAGGAACATTGGACCTCTTTCTTCGTTCATAGTAGGGATATAAGTACACCAAAAATAGTTTCATAATGGGTTATTTTCCTGTCATTAATCCTGGCTCACTCACTTCACATTCAAATTCAAGTGTGGTTCTGCTTTGGTGAAATTCATACCGGCACATCTGCACGATCGAACCTTTTGTCTTTTCCTGCTAATAGTAATAAGCTAACCTCATCAACTTAACCTTTTTTTTAAGTAACACAGCAGAGGAGACTCCCACTGTTAAAAAAAACTTTATTAATAAAAGGAAAGAAAGTAAAAAAAAAAGAAAATTACAGCAAAAGAATCCAATCTCTAACTACATTTTGATCTCGCACATTCAGCCGAAACAATAGAAGAAGGAAGTCTCTTTTAGGAGTTGCTTCTAGGAAGAAAACAAATGTAACCTATTTAAAAAATGAAACAATTTCTTTGTTTCCAAATATTCCCAGCCCCTAAAAGAAACTTTTCCATGAAGCACACTGTCCATTCTATACATATTTAGCCGTCTCATCTAGGGATGAAAACAGAAAGGAATATTTTCGGATTCCAACTCTGTTTTCGAAAACGGATTTAGAGCCGGTCGGAATTTTTTCATAAACGGAAACGAATTCAAAAATATTTTGTTGGAAAAGGAATCGAATATGATAAGAGCAGTTTCCGTCGGAACTCGGAATCGGTCTGAAACTTTCCGGAAAATTTTTTTGGAATTTCCGAAGTTACAGGCCCATACAATACAATAGTCCATAATACCTCTCTAGCCCAGCCCAATTCAACATAATACCCCCCCTAACCTAGAGACTTAGAGAGCAGAGAGTGAGGGACTGAGGGAGACATCGAAGATTTCAGATCAGGGCAGTGGAGCGACGGATCCATATCTCAGGTTGCCTTGTCCCCTGCTGTATGTTTGAAGTTTTTGTCCATCGAAGTTTGAAGCTTACTTTGAGGGGGTTTTTTTAATTCCGATAAATTTTCGTTATCTTATCCGCGCCGGTTCGTTTTCGCTCCATTTTTTGGTTTCGATAATATTCAATTCCGTTTTCGTATCCGGGGTTTCCGATTCCGATTTCAATTCCCAAAAAAATATAAAAATAAAAACGATAAAAGTAGTTTCCGTCCGTTTCCATATCGTTTTCATCCCTAGTCTCATCAACTTAACCTGTGCAAGGGGAAGGCGAACAACGTATATGTGGACTCGGATCCTCTGCATTGCTGTTGCTACTACAGAGGAGCATTTTTGTGCATTAGCTCAAATCCGAGCCATCCATCCAATCAAGGACGGTTGCGTACTTCTAGCAAAACGCTCTTTCTGCTCTCAACCATCAAAGCAATTGTCTGTTCACACTTCTTGTCTTCATGGCTTCATTCTATCAAATTTATCTGTTCATACTCTATTGTGGTGGTCTTAAAAATGATGTCATGGGGTTGCACATCACTGTACTCACGATAATAACTGAGTTCTAGAGAGTGATTTCTACCTGCAACTTTTCCGTTCTCTATGAGTATGTTTCTCTTTATCAAAAGTTTATAATAAAATTTAGCAACTAGCATTTAATATATCTTAATAATATGTTTGTTTTGTATAAAAATGTTATTGTTTTTTCTGTAAACTTTATCAAACTTAAAAAGTTTGATTAGTGACTTATTATGAAACAGGGGAGTAGTTAATTGATTATGCATTAATGACTTATCTCGTTTTACGTGTCACTAAAATACTAATCTCAATCGCTTCTTCAAACATGCCTATTTTTAATTATTTAATTTATTATAAACTTTTATATAGAAATATTTTTTATAGAACATACAGTTTAACGGTTCGGGAAGCGTGCTAACAGAAAATAAAGATGTTACCGCTTAGAAATTTTTCCACAAGTAGATGTTTGGAATAGACGGGTAAGTTATTAAGCCAACAAAGGCAAGGGGGTCCGTCACAACGAGATGACCATGAGCGTAGGAGGTCGAGCTAATGTATATAGCACAAGAGAAGTGGAAGTATGGAAGATATATTGAAGCAAGAAGAAGAAATCACGGCCCATTCTTTTGGATGAACGATCTAGATTTGAGCTAATACACAAAACAGGCTTCTCTGCTGTTATAGTTGCTAATGCAGAGGATCCGAGTCCCATATACAGGGGCGGGCCCAGGATTTTCAACTTGGGTATTCGAAATTAGAAGAGATAGAAAAAAAATTTCAACCCAAGTCTAATAGTTGTATATTACATAACGGTATAAACATGATTTCAAATAGTCATACATGGATGGATAAAATTGATCATAAATTGAATGTGTTAAGCATATTAGAGCATACAAAATGGCAAAATGATAAGAAATCTTACAATTTAGAGAAGAACTTTTCATTTATTGATATTTTGAAAATGATTGATGATGTCTTTATCCTTGACTTGCAAGAAGAAATCCCTTTCAATGAATGTAACCAAGCAATCATTCAAATATTCTTGTCCCATCTTGCTTCTTAACTTGTTTTTGATATAGTTCATTGAAGAGAAAACCCTCTCAACACCAGCAGTTGCAACAGGGAGAACTAACACCAATTTGAGAAGTCTGTAAACAAGGTCATAGCGAGAAACCTTGTTTTTTTTTTGACAAGCATCATAGATAGGTCTGTTAAACTTCTCAAATTTGTGAAATTCTCATCCTTACCCACATCACTAATATAGCGGTTCAGTTGAAAGGGGAGTTGGTTCATTTCTTCAACATCAAAATCACTAGGATAGAACTTGGCAAGCTTAACTAAGTTGTCAACATTAAAAGCAGAGAAGGATTTGGCTGGGCTAAATGATGCCATGCATCTAAGTAATTCTGTGTTTACCTCATCAAATCTGTTATTGAGCTCTTGAAGTTGCCTATCAATGACACCCAAAAACATATCGGCATGGAATCGATGGTAATTAATAGCATCTCTGAAGAATTTCCTTGATCTTTGTATAGGCTTATACTTCCCATCCATGTCAACAACTTTAACTTTGTGCTTCACACAAAAAGAAGTGACCTTTCCAAGAAATTCTTTCCATCCACAATCTTCTCTCAAAACATCAAGTTCTGCCTTTGTGAACTCAAGAAGATCCATTGCATTCACAATATCTTGCTCCCTCCTTTGCAGAGCATTGCAGAAGTCACTTGTGTATCCAAATATTTCATTCATCATGTGCAACAAGAAAACAAGCTCAAATGACTGAAATACTTGTAGCATAGTTTGAGCTCCTATAGCCTCTGCCTCATTACACTCTTTCCCAACCTTGAATAGAAGTTTCTTGATTGAAGGATATAGAAGCATGACATGCATTACTGTCTTGTAGTGAGATCCCCAACGTGTATCACCTGCCACCATATGTTAATTAAAGTAGTGAGTACAATTTAGAGGTGTAGTAGAGATATGATAGAGGATTGGAGGTAACAAGTTTCTCACCTGGCCTTGCTAAGCCCATCTCTTGATTCAGACCTTGGCCACTCTCAATTTCACCCAACTTCAATGCTTCAATCATATACTCAGCTTGAGCTATACGAAGCATGCGGATCTTTTTACAAGACATCCCAAGGACATTCAACAAATATGCAAGTTGCCCAAAAAACCATGCACAATCAGTATTCTCCTTAGCAACAGCTACAAGGGTTAGTTGAAGTTGATGGGCAAAACAATGTACAAGCTGAGGGGGATTCATCCATAATTAGTTTATTCAAACCATTAATATGACCCTTCATGTTACTAGCACCATCATATCCTTGTCCACGTACCTTGGATAAGGGTAGTTGGTACTTAATAAGCAAAGACTTAATTGCCTCCTTAAGAGTCAATGATGTAGTATCTTCAACATGGACAAGACCAAGAAACCGTTCAACTGGTTGCCCCGTCATATTGACAAACCGCAAGCAAAGAGCCAATTGTTCTTTTTGGTAGGCATCACTAGACTCATCAGCAAGAATTGCAAAACACTCATCATGAAGTTCCTCTATGACAAGTTTAGTTGTTTCGTGAGCACAAGAACCAATGAGTTGTTTCTGAATCTTGTGGTCTATCATTTGACAACCAGTTGGAGCATTTCCTAGAACCACCTTATTAACTTCTTCAAAGTTCCCAGCTAGCCATTGCACAAGTTCCCTAAAATTTCCTTTGTTGTTAGAATCCTTTGACTCATCATGACCACGAAAAGCCAACCCCTGCCGCAGAAGATATCTTATGCACTTAAGTGACCATGTCAAGCGAGCTAAGTATTGAACCTTAAACTCTACAGAGTTTGATGCAAAGGACTCACGAATTGATGTCTTAGGTTGCATGAACAAATTGTATTTCTCTTCAGCTTCACAATGAGCACTATTGACAGCACCAGCATGTTTACTAAATCTACTTTTAATGTTCCAGTTTCTAAAACCTCCATTAACAAAAGCATCTCCACCATGATTGTTAGTGCTATCTTTGAACAAGTAACAAACAAAGCAATATGCAGCATCTCTATGCACACTATACTCAAGCCACTTGAACTCAAAAAACCATTTTGGCAGGAAGCGGCGCATACCTCCACACTCATGCTGCGGAAAATCCCCCTTCTTCATCTTTGGTTGGCAAGGGCCCAATGCAATATACTCCCTTCTAACTGAATCTTGGTCATTGACATCATATTGTGAGATAGGAGTCCTCAATCCAGGATCATGCTCTATGTCATATACACCACCATCATTGTCTTCATCACTTGATGACTCATCATTTGGCCCTCCTCCAATATCATAATTCTCTACATCAGGCGGTACTGTGGTTGGACTGCTTGCCCCACTATCACTCTCATTCTCGAGTTGACCTTGATATATCACTACTTGCATCTGACTCTCAATACAAGAAGGCTGACTTGGACCAATGCAAGAAGGCTGACTTGGACCAGTTGCTTCTTGAGTTCTCTTCTTTGCAGCAGCCTTTTCTAAAAAAGCCTTTAAATTAACGGCGGGACCATTTTTTCTCTTCATGTTTCAAACCTACAAAACAACAATATACTATAGTCAACCATGAACCATTCCTGGATTCCAATTTTAAATCAAAAATGTTCAACCATGAAAGCATGAATAATTTCCTACATGCTAGATTCACCTATGAATTAAATCCTAATCTCTATTCTTCTGTATTCCTAATCAATTAGGCATTAACCAATAGCCATGAAGGGAGAGTTAGTGAGTTACCTTCGTCGTCTCGCCTCCTCGGTGGATGTCACGCCCGGAAATTCACTAGTAATTTCCGAACTTATTTGTGCATAAAATCCTCGTCCAGGAATCAGCCGAGGTACACAAACTGACAATTTAATATACAGATTCATCAAATTAACTAAAACGATAAATACTTACTTATGAGGCACTTAGTCCTCATCATGAAGAAAACTGCAGCGGAAAATAAAATCTAGCGAAGCTCCGGCTCCACTCCCACAGGCAGCTCAACTGGGGTATAAGCCAAACGTCTTCTCCTTCTGGATCCTTTTTCTTCAACTGAGGTTGATTGATTATTGCAAGGTGAGCATATGACATACTCAGCAAGCCACACAGCAAATATGCATGTGCACAAGGATACCAAAGGATGGCATAATATAGGCTCATTTGCAAAAGCAGCATTTAGCAAAACATTTAAGAGAAGTAAAACAGTGGAGTAATTAATCAGAAATTTTAATCAACACTGAACAGCACACCCATGCTGCACAGGCCCAACCATTCTGAACAACCATACCCGGCTGAACAGATCTAACTCCAAACCAGGAGCTAAGCAAATTATTACCCAGTATAACATCCATAGTTATGGTGAGAGGTGTGGGACTAATCACGAAAAACATTGCTCAACTCGCCCATAACCGCGGGCACGGCTATTCGAATAGTTTTACTATGGCCAGAGGTGTACCACTGTACCCACAAGATACAGCCTCAACATCATGTCTACCATGCGTCGCGATACTGGAAAGTACCCGAATAGAGGCTGTGACAATACCCTCTGCATAACACAACTCACCACAGTGCACCATTCCTGGATCATAATCACCCCCTCAAAAACCAGAGGCATGGACTCCCCAGCGACCCCCGTGGGCTTATCTCCGCCACTTCTCAGTCTGGTGCTCCGCAATGAATCATGCTATACAAAAGGTAAAGCCGTTGCCCACGCTGGCTTGTGGTTGGCACGGTTAATGTTTCACAATAGTAGCTCGCGAACCGGTCCTTAATTGTCATGAGCACGACTCTCAAAACCATGTACTCACAACCCACCATTATCAAGTTTTAGTTGGCAAGTAATTAATTAACCAATCACGATTAACCATCGTGAACTATCATTAAACCATCATTAAATAATAATGAATCATAAGTTATCCCAATAGTGTGCTAATGTTTCTAAGCATGGCTAAGCAATCACATCTAATATCTAGCTGAACCAATATATAAAGCTCAACTAGTCAAATTATAATAACCCAAGGTATCAAGGATTAAAGTAATCAATGCAAACAGGCCATAACAAAGGAATAGATTCACACCACCCAGTGACATTCGAAAATAAATGCACAGTTGAAATAAATAGAGAATTTAAATATAGGATCAACATGCTCAAAGGATTGTATTTAGGATCTGTGTGACTTGCCTTGCAATATTCGGTCTTCAATTAATCTTCTTGAACACTTCCGACGCACTCGCGAACCTTCACAACGACGGAAACGACAAGCTAACACGCAAAACGAAGAAAAAGACTAATAAAAACCAAATAAACAATACATAAAAAGTAAACAAACATGTAGATCATATTTTTAGATGAATTATGAGACTTGAACGGCCTCATTCTGACTTCAAATGAATTTATTATGAATTTTACAAGATTAAATCTAATTAAAGCCCATTTAAAAAGAATTAAATAAATTTAATTCAATTTATGGATAATTTTAATATGTAGATCTTTATTTTACACAACTTTTGCAACTTGAACCACATTAAACTGAGTTACAATGAATAACTTAGTTATGAATTTCCGAATATTTAATCTATTAGAAAAACAGGAAAAAGAAAAAAAACGATGATGACGTCAGCGATGACCTCATCAATGGTGGCCGGCTCGGATAGCAAGCTTTGCGGGAGCTAGAGCGGCCGGCTGCGGATTTGGAAGGCATGCACACGTAGAGGACGACGAGACGAACCCAACGGTACTCACCCTCGAACCAAACGACGAACGACGACGGCCGGCGACGAAGGGGGTGGCGGCGGCGGCTCGGTCGGCGGTGGCGGCGGAGCTTCGGTGACCGGCGATAGCGGGGAGGGAGCGGCCGGGCTTCTCCTCGCTCTCGCGCACCTAACAGTGGTGGCGGCGACCGGCGGCGACGACGGAGGCGACGGCGCGGCGCGGATGGAGTCAGCCAGCGGCGACGGCGAGCTAAACGGCGGCGGCGCGGCAGCTACGAGGCACGGGAAAGCTCGGGAGATGGGGCAAACGAAAGAGGAGGACTAGGGGGTCCTTTATAAAGCCATGGGAGCTCGGGTCCGGGCCCAAATCGACGGGAAAAACTCGGGAAAGTTTAGGGTTCTCGCCGGAAAAGGAAGGATTTGATCCGCGAAATTGGAAAGAATTTCCATAGAAAATTTTGGGGATTTCTTGGGGAAAAGGAAGAGGAGATTGAGAGGATTCCATTCCCGCAACCAATTTGGAAATAGGAGCAACGGGGAGGTCGGATTTTGGAAGGGAATCGGCGGCACTGTGCACGGCACGGGAGACAGACGGCTGGAGGAGGAAGATGGAGTACTGTAGCGACAGGGAGGCAAAACAGACTTTCGGCCGGGCTGACAGGAAGGGAGAGGGAAAGGAGGGAATGGGCTGGATTCGGCCCAAGCTGAGGAGGAGGATTTTTATTACTTTTCCAAATAAATTAACCAATGAGATGATCTTTCAATTGTTAAAAATACTTCCAATGCTCAAATAATTCCAAGAAAAATCTTGAACATACTTGGACACTCAAAGTATTTAATATAATAATATCCAGATCATTTAATGATTAATTTATTTTTTTTAAAAAAAAAAGCTAAACTGTTCTTTGTATTATTAACATTAGGAATTGAGCTCCGAAAATTCCGAGAAAATTTCAGAGAGTATAATTAATCATGGAGAATTTAATAAAAAATTAAATCCATCCATGCTTTATATTTAGGAAATTTTATTTCCCACATTTAACTTCACTTGTAAATTAATGAACATTTAATATAAATTCTATTAATAATTATAAATTCTATTAATAATTTATTAAATAATTTATAAATCCTGAAACGAAAATCAGGATGTGACAGTGGAGCTGTGGAGCCGTGGAGCGGTGGAGGTGGTCAGTGGCAACGCCTGGAGGTTGGAGGCAGCCTCCGCCGGTTGCCGGACTGCCGTCTGCCGGGCGCTGGTGCGCGGCCACGGCGTGCGCCCTGCCGCCCTGCTGGCTGCTGCCGGCCGGACGCGGGTTGCGGGAGCGGGACGCCGACGCGCTAAGATGCGGGCGGCCGGCGGTCGGCGGCCGGCGGCTGGTGGCGGCGGCGGCGCAGCGGGCTGCGGGCTGGGGCAACGGCAGCGCGCAGGTGACCGGCGAGGGCGCAAGGCGGTGACTCGGCTGGAGTGCGGGATCGGACTCAGGAGATTTGGGAATGGGAACTGAGGAGATAGGGTTAGAATAGTGTTTGGGCTTTTTTTTTTTTGGCTATTGGGCCAATGGGCCTAAGGGTGGTGGGGAGGAAAAAAGTGGGAGGGATAGGAATCATTTTTAGTTTGGGCTTCTTTTGAATGGGTAGGCCTTTTTTTCTTTTTTTATATATACATATGGAATATATACTTCATATATGTATTTTTTGTTCAAAAATCTTGGGTATTCATTTGAATACCCATGAATCATTGTGGGCCCGCCCCTAGTAGCAACGAAGCATTGTGGGCTATCATGTCGCAATGGAAGGAGAAAATGTTTGAAATAAATAAATCCTGAATAGCTACGTTTGATTCTTCAAAGTTAGAGGTTAGTTTTTCGGCACGGAAACGAGATGAGTCATTAACACATGGTTAATTAAGTATTAATTATTATAAATTTGGAAAATTCATTTTTGTGATTTTTTTAAAACTTTTATATAAAAAGTTTCTTTTAAATTAAATGTACCATTTAATATTTTAAAAAATGTGTTAACGAAAACAAGGAAGTTATAGGCCCTAAAATGGCTGAATTCACCTACAAGGCCTCCTGAAATGAAACATACTGTGATCTGTATATTATATGCATTGTTGTAATAGGAACAATAGATCCAACCATAGCAAGAAGAGGACATGAGGTCCAACAGCTGCAATGGCTGTCCCATGGAATGGTTATTGACATGACATGATTTTAGCTAGGGACCAAGGATATTCTTCTGCTGACATTCCTCCTCCCTTATCTCCACCTCCTGAACCTCCAACAAGTCCAGTTATTGTTCTTGTAAGTGATGCTGATATATAGCTGCATATTGTGCTACTGAAACTACCTAACCGTTCTGAATTACACATTGCAACTCAAGCAAATGCTAGTGATTTTTCATGTTCTAGTCATGCTCTGCCACATGAGTATCTATCAGTACCTTGCATATTATTAGTTTTGTTGTTTGCCCTATATATACAAGCCTTATCAAACAAATTGGTTGTTCACTAAATTTGTTTAATAAAATTGTAACAATTGTTTTTTTATAGGATGACTCCTAAGTATCAGGTGTTAGAGAGGAAACTGGAGATGACAGGGTAAATGTTATAGCTGAAGGAATGTTTGGTGGCTACTTGACCAATTCATCTGCTAATGGTGCCACCACCTTTCTCCCAGCTTTAGATGAACTTGATCCATTTTAATTTCAACTGGCTGTGGTCATAGGGCTAACTTTTGGGAAAACTTGGTAGTTATAGCGCCTAACTTTTGGGTAAAGCTGATTCTTACCGAAACATGTGTAATGAAGTGGAATTATGCCATTTTGAGGGCAAGATGATTATAATGCATCCTTTGAATGCTATATATGGTGCTGGTGGATTTAAACAATATTTTGTTCCTATGTTTAATCATATTATGTGTGGTGGTGGTCTTTGTGCAATATTACTTACCTTTAGTGCAATTTATTTTACATAAATCCTAATGAATTGATTAACATCATAAATTGTAATAATTATATTAAAAAATGCTCAACGTAATAAGTAATTCCTAGGGAATGCATGTTTTTGTTCCCTGGGGTTTCAAAAGGAATCTAACAACTCTAGGGACAATAACTTTACACGTCACTTGACACCCACCAGCTGGGCATTTTTCCCTAGGTCAAACAACCCTAGGGAGCATTCCTTTCCCTAGGTTTCTCTTGCAAAAACCCTAGGGAGCTCTTTGTTTCCCGTAGACCGTTTCCCTAGAGGGCATTCCCTAGGGTTCACTCTAGGGAAACCTCTTCCCTAGAGTTTTTGCACCATTCCCTTGGGTTTTTGGCTCTAGGGATGCCATTGAATTCTAGTAGTGACTACCTTCGTCCGAAGAATAAACTCGCTTTTGTTTGCGAACTGGACATATGTATACCCACATTCACGTACAAAAGCAAATTTAATTTGGGACAAATGTAATATATATGCTATGAGTTCCTGTTCAAGAAGAAGGTAGCATGCATTATCTATGGGTATCACTCAAATGTTAAAAAAAAAGCAAGAATTCTATGTGTTTATCTAATGCTTGGGATGGTGAATTATTATTACCGGAAAGCTGACCAGTTGAGCTACTATTGGAGTTATTATATTTTTCATTGAGCACGTCACACTCTGCATCTTGAAGTACTAATTATGTAAAGCAAGGAAAACAAATTATACCAAGATCAAATATAACCCCACACACAACATATTTTTTGAGACCTCCCAACCATTTAAGATGGAATGGTAGCTTAAGTTGTACGGTGGAAGTACAGTGGTGAATCTAGAATGAAAATAGAGAGGGTGCCCTGTTCGAATGAGAGTTTCGGACGAGCAGTCATCTAGCTTATGACAATTCAGGCAAGCCTCTTAATTAACGTATGATTAGTTAAGTGTTCACTCTTATAAACTTTAAATTTTGATTTAATTGAATTTTGAAGAAACTTCTCTATAATAAGTTTTTTGAAAATCACAATGTTTAACGGTTTGACAAAGAAAGTACCTCAAGAACTCTAAATCTGAAAGAACAGGGCCTAGAGCTAGTAAACTATACACGCCAATCTCTTGTCAATCAAATTTATGACTTGTACCAGAAATAACTCAAAATAAAGAATAAAAATATAACAAGTATGATACTGTAGTTGCTGGTAAATATATATTTGAAACAGGGTGCAATGTTTTTTCCTTTTCTTTATTTGGTTGCACTTACAATAAAAGAATTAGTTGGATATATATATGACCGAAAGCACTAGGCGGTAGTGGTACTGCTTCCAAAGCCAGCTACTTCATTTCTTGCCACGATGGCTCACTGCTGGATGCAGATACCTGATAGCACCTAACTATGGGGCTATGGCTGGCCGGAGCTGGGGCTGGAGCCCCAACCATGATGATCCGCTGCTATGGAAGTAAATGTTTTTTAATTTAATTACTGCTAGGGCTCTGCCTGGCAGCGTAATTTTTATTTAAAAAGTATTTATAAAAGAATAATTATAAATAGAGCGCTGAAAATAATATTATAAAGGTTTTAGTTTTAGTATTCCTCGTAGTGGAAGTAAATGTTAAGCGGAAAGGATATTTAGCGATCGATCGCTTGCGGGATCGGACCGCGATCAGATCGATCCCTATACTCCTCTCTCTTCTCCCCCTTCCACCTCCCCTTCTTCTCTTTCTACTACAGTACACCACAAACTTTTTTTAAAAAAACAAAAGTTAGAAAAAAATATGTATAGAAATAATATATATAAAAAAATTGAATTAAAATTTAAATTTGAATCGGGTATGTAAACTTTTGACTTATAAACTTTGGGTCTTTAAACTTTAGGTGTATAAACTTTAGATGTATAGAAATACTATATATAGAAAATATTTGAATTCAAATTCAAATTTGAATCGGGTATGTAAACTTTTGACTTATAAACTTTAGGTCTATAAACTTTAGATGTATAAACTTTAGATGTATAGAAATACTATATATATAAAATATTTGAATTCAAATTCAAATTTGAAACGGGTATATAAACTTTTACTTATAAACTTTAGGTCTATAAACTTTAGGTCTATAAACTTTAGATGCATAGAAATACTATATATAAAAAATATCAAATTCAAATTTGAATTGGATATATAAACTTTTGGTCTCTAAACTTTAGATGTGTAAACTTGAGATGTACAAACTTTAGGCGTATAAATTTGCTAAAATAGGAAAGTAATACGGTGCCAAAAAAGGAAACCAGGTGGAGGGAGGGAGGGGGAGGGGGGGAATCTGATCGCTACCCCTAATGCTAAGGGCTAAACATAAGGACCTAAAGGACCTAGTAGTTTTAGTGCAGTAAATGTTGTTCGCCACGTGTTTATTATAGATCATATGGTAATAAATGTTGTTCGCCACGTATTTATTATTGACATAGAGAGTAACAAACACTGCCTGAATTCCATGTTATCTGGTGATTCTTATAATGGGAATGGCTGAGGGGGAAAGTGACGAGGAATGGCATACCTTCATTTCTTTTACCTCTGCTTTCCTTTGTCTCGTTTGGATTGTTAAGGGTGGCATGTATAGCCTATGATATGTGAAAGAAATTAATAGACATGGAAGGTATCAGAGAACATATCCGGCCAAGGATCCAAAAGAATAGTTCAAGCTAGCATGCATGATTCGCATGAATCTTCTGCTCGGCTGCTCCGGAATTGGGGATGATTAGTCCCGAGGCTCCTTCCAGGTTACTAGCCCTGTTTCCCAATAAGCAGATTGAGCAGGTTCTGCAATGATGCTTTGACTTTTTATTGCATCCATTTCTTTCATGGACATTGGGAAAGTTAACAACATGAAAGAATATATAACCCTCAATAAGTCATCGACATGGTTACCTCATGATTACCATGTGGTACAATGCATGGTAACCATCTCATTTGTTGAAACATCACGGTTTTTCTTGGCTTTTCTCAGTTAAGGTCACGGTTTTCATGGTAATCATTACACGAATGGGTAGCGGTAACCGCTATCAAATCAGTAGGTGAAACCATGGCAATGATTACACGTATATATAAATTAACAACTTTTAATTAAAATAATGATTAGACAAGTATTTTTTTTCTCTTTCACTTAAGGAATAAAATAGGATAAGGACACATGGTTCAGAACGGAGACAAGACAAGAGATCAGAGATTGTAACTCAATAGGCTGTGTTTAGATCAAAGTTTGAATCCAAACTTCAGTACTTTTCCATCATATCAACCTGTCTTACACACAACTTTTCATTCACATCATTTGTAATTTTAACCAAAATCTAAATTTTGAATCCAACTAAACACAAGCCTAAGCTATTTTGCTGTGTAAGCTAGTAGAACACAGTAACCCTACTTGGTTCATCGAATGTTAAAAAGCACACGGAAATCAAATTTCTATCCATAAAATGCAGCAGCGATAGACGCTAATATAATACCATTTTTCCATGCATTCAAGGGGATTTGATTTCTTCAAATAAAGAAATGATGGCTACATGCCAGAGTGGCTGGGTAGCAGGTAGAAAGTGGTGTCTATACCAACTTACCGTACGGTTGAGCAAAAAATTTAAGTTTACAAACACACTCAAATTTTGAAACTTTTAGGTTGAAACCATATGGTTGAGCTGAAACCATTAACTTTTGGTATACCATAGGGTTGAGCTGAAAAGTTACACAATTTAAATTGTGAGTTCAAAGTTTTAAAAATTTGGGTTGAAAATTTCAAAATTTTGAATTGAAAGTATTATGAAAATGACTATAAATTTATATAAATTTCAAAAATTATCCAAAGATAACTTTCAAATACAAACTTTGTATAACTTTCAATTTATCATAAATCACTTAATTGGAAAATACTTTAAATAAATACTCCCTCCATCTACTTTTGATAGTCAAATTTCATCTTGGCACACAGACCAAGGATAAGTAATTCTACTTATCATCCCTTTAAATATGCTACTAGTCATTCCTCGTAAACAAGCAATTCATTGATATTTACATTTCTCAATGTCTATGTAGCAAATCATGTGTGGAAAAATGGAGAGTCATGCATTAAATCCGAGAAAGTGATTAAGATGATAGGTTGTTGGATTGAAATATATCTATCAAAAATAATTTTCAGATTTGGAAATATTAGATGGAGGGAGTAGTTCGTACTTTTTTTTTTGAAAGCAAATACCAACATATATATTATTATAAAGAGAAGTGCTTATGAGCACAGAGTACACTGGGTAGTACATCCAGTTTTGCAGAACAGCCCCTCAAAGCTGGGCAAATTACAGTTTGGATCAACATTTGTAGAAAAGGACCTAAAAAGAAAGAGAAAAAGCAATCGGGTCCTTCTCTTGCAACTGCCTTCAGCACTGATGAAGAAAACATGAACTTTTACTTTGATGGAGATTGAACCAAGGTGAGCTGCAGTAGATGGAGTCTCAGCACGATCCCAAGAGGGGCCTCGCTCAGGAGGTTTAGGTTTTGACCAATAGTATATGAAATCAGCCACACCACATAAGATTTCCACCTAAGTTGAAGAAGGTAATCAACGTAAAGGCAGTGTTTTCAAAGATGACAAGCTGATCTATACTACCAGCGACAAGAGCAAAGAAAACTCAGCGATCTGCATAAGAAACCAAGGAGCATACCCAAAAGGGCCTCCACACAGGAGGTTAAAGCCCTCTCAGCAAAACTAGAATACTTCAGTCGCCTTGAAGATGTTCGTCGTCGGACAACTAGAAAAGCATCATCTTCCTTGGAAATAGTTCGCCGGAGAAGAACTCACAGACTGAGGTGGGAGCCAATGCTAGCAATGCAAGCTTTTGCACTGTATAGTGCCAAAGTGAAACCTGGAAATGTACATCTGTTGTGTGCTAAAAGATTGCTATGTGGGAATGAGAGATATTGGGAGTTCATATATCTGTAGGATGGGAAAATCAAGATCTTTGATTTTCCTTCCCATTGCGTAGGATCAATTGATGTGGATGGGGTAACAATCCAAGACAGCATGATCCTGTCAACGGGCCACAATGAATTTCACCAAAGCGGCTTGGGTTTGTAGTTTTGTTCGAAGTGAGCTCAGATAAACAATAACATGGAAATACACCCTCGTGAGAAACAATTATCATTCTTAGTATCGCTACAGATTTCAGCAATAATCAATGTTAAGTGAAACATTTGTACACGAAAGACCAAAAAATATATTAGCCTGCCAGCTAATTAATATGCTTTTCTAATGCCAGAACTCAAAATATATCTAGTACTGTGGCAGTGGCAAAAGCATATTTATCTTTCTGGAGTACTCATGAACACAGTTTTGGCCCATGCATGTCCTCATCCAAACTTGGAGGACAGATACTTCTTTTATTTTCTCTCTATTATATACTAGTCATTGACCACTACTATTAGCACGGTCTTTTATGATTTAATAACTTTAGAATTTATAATTGATAAATGTTGAGTTCTACTCAGTCTAGAGTCTTACTTGTGTAGCTTTGTCATGCATTAATAAGCTAATTGTTGGCATGATTTAGTAAATTTTAAAATTAATAATTAATAATATCGAGTTGTACTTAGTTCAGGTTCCCAACTATAACATTTTCATGTTTTCATAATTTTATGAATTTCGGAATTAATAATTATCGAGTAGTAATCTCAGTAGATGTGTTTTTAATGTGTCTTACAATGTTAAAGGCTGACAGATTTTTTGTGTACCTTAAAAACTGGAAAAAGAAAAGGACAAGTCGTGTTTATGCATAGATGGGTGTAACATAACAAGACTTTATTTTCTAACATGGCTGAATAAAATCTCGCAGAATATTAAGGACTACTATTATTTTCTAAATATGATACAGATTCTACCTCGGTTTTTAAAAAGTTAAACGATGCGTCTCGTGCGGAATCTTTCTGTATAAAAGTTGCTTTAAAATATCAGATAAACCCATAATTAAAACTCAATCAATCATGTGCTAACAACATACTTGTTTTGCGTGCCATCGATCACTTAATGTTCATCCTGATCAAGTTCAAAGGTGACAAGGTGTTCAACCATGCTGCCTAAAACTGTATGGCATCCCACTACAGAATCGTTCGGCAGGCAAAGTTGAGGGTAGCTTGTGTTGCCTCTGCTTTGTACCCTGTCCATAGCAGCTGTTTGATGACACCCTATCTCTGTTAATGCGTGGGAAATGGAAGCAGCCCTAGGCTCTCTCTGCTGCATTTCACGGGCAAAGGATTGAAGTCCCAGTGCCTACCATACCCAATAATATCATTAAAACTTGATCTACTAGTATATCATAAACCTAGTGATTCTTTTTTATATTTTTTGTGTACAGTAGACTGGTAGAGGATAGTGTATAACAAGGTTGGCAACGTTGTAATCCTTTTGACCCCTCTAATGGTCATGGACCATCTGCTCTTTTGTTTTGAGCTCTGTATTGGCCCTGGTATAGTATGGCTAAGACTGTTCTGAGTTCTGACTCATATGGAGATCTACTCAAACATAAATAGCAAAACTGAAATAATGACACCACCATGGGAGAATGGATGTTAGCCTTGGTGTGTCTGGCAGCCTAATAATAAAGGGTACAATATAGTATTATTTATATTTATATAATTCTAATTGTCTATTTAACCCTAGCAGAATACTCCAAAAGAATTATTAACTTCCAAAAAGAAGGTAATTGTTTAACTAAACTCTTTTTCTGGCCAAAATAAAATATTCCTTTTAATATAATGCAACCGTCGCATGAACCAACCAACTAATTAAGGATGCACATAAGTATAATACATTTCATAGTCACCGGCATTTAAACTATGCTTGGTGGGGTCCTATATAGGGATGAAAATGGAGCAGCAAAATATCGTTATGTAAGCACGAGAGGCACTGGGAGTTCACATATATGTGATACGCCTTCCTCTCTTGCACAGGTTAAGTTGATGAGACTAGTGATGAAAACGGTACGAAAACGGACGGAAACCACATTTATCGTTTTTGTTTTTATTTTTTTTTCGAAATTGAAATCGGAATCGGAAACCCTAGATACGAAAACGGAATTGAATATTATCGAAACCAAAAAATGGATTGAAAACAAACCCGCACAAATACGATAATGAAAATTTATCGGAATAAAAAAAACCCCTCAAACCGAGCTTCAAACTTTGATGGACAAAAACTTCAAACAGATGACGGAGGACGAGGCAATGTGAGATCTGGATGCATCGCTCCACCAACCTGCTTTGGAATCTTCGATGTCTCCCTCAGTCCCTCACTCTCTGCTCCCTAAGTCTCTAGGTTAGGGGAGGTATTATGTTGAATTGGGCTGGGCTTGGGAGGTATAATGTACTATTGTATTGCATGGTCCTGTAACTTCAGAAATTCCGAAAAAGTTTCCAGAAAATTTCAGACCGATTCCGAGTTCCGACGGAAACTGTTCTTTATCATATTCGATTCCGTTTCCAACAAAATATTTCCGAATTCGTTTCCGTTTCCAAAAAAAATTCCGACCGGCTGATTCCGTTTTCGAAAATAGGCCCGGAATCCAGAAATATTTCGTATTGTTTTCATCCCTAGATGAGACAGCTAAATATGCATACAATGGATTGTGTGCTTCATTGAAAAGTTTCTTTTAGGGGCTTGGAATATTTGGAAACAAAGAAATTGTTTCATTTTTTAAATAGGTTACATTTGTTTTCTTCCTAGAAACAACTCCTAAAAGAGACTTCGTTCTTCTATTGTTTTGGCTGAATGTGCATGATCAAAATGTAGTCAGAGATTGGAATCTTTTGCTGTAATTTTCTTTTTTTTTAACTTTTTTCTTTTTATCCTATATACCTATACAAGTCATCCCCACTAACTCAATTTCCTGCGCTGTGGTTCATCCACGTCATCCAATTCAATGACAGCCGTTGGATCAAAACCTGGTGGTCTGGATCATGGTGAGCGAAGTCCAAATCTCAATGGTGTGAACTACAAGGCCCATATACGTGAGCCCAACAGGCAACAGCCCATCCTTTCCCTAAGAGAGAAGCATCCATCGATCTCAATTTTCCTCCCACACCCTAGCCTGTTCGGTCTCTCGGTCTTCCCACGGAACGCGCCGACCGTCGTCGCCTGCGCTCCTCTCGCGCAGCGTCACTGCCCGGCAGGCGCCTCAGCTCCACCCTCTACCCCCAGCCGTTTCCAGCGGAAACGACGCCCGCGTGCCGTCCCCGTCCCTCCTCCTCCCCCGTGCAAGGGAATCAGCCAGGAGCACCGCCTCGGTCTGTTTCATCTCTTTGGTTGCCATGAAGACATTAACTTTATGTTCCTGTAACGTAAAGGCAAAATCATCATCGTGCATAAAATCTCTCATGCTTCTGTTTACCTTGCATCTTCCATAGCCATGAGTCGTGCATCATCTATCTCCTTCCGGTTGCATCTGCAAGCTAACCAGGTGCCATTTTTTTCTTCCCATCCTCCTTGCTTGCCTTCTCTAATCTTGGTTTTCTTCATAATGCAGTATTATACTTGTGAAATTTTTGTTCCCCCCATCCTCCTTTTCTTATTTGTATATCTCCTTCATCTGTCCTCCCTTTTAATTTAAATCATAATTGCTTCTTGCCTTTTTTTTCTAATCTTGGTTTTCTTCAGATCGTAGGACTATACCTGTGAAATTTTGTTAGCATTCTACCTCTATGTTCCGTGTACATTTTGATTTGACTACCTGTGTGGGGGAGGTCAAGGTAAATTCTAATGGCTAATTTTATTGCAGGTGTAAGAATCATCCCTATATATGAAAGGTTGTGCTGTTCTAGAGCATTCGATAAAGTAATTCATTACTCCAGGGTGGTTTCATCCATATGTATTGATGAAATTGCAAAGCTGCCATCATTATTTTACTGCATATATTCAGTTAGCTAGAGATTTTGTAAAATAATTCCTTATATGTCTTTGATACTTATATTTTGTGAATTGAACCATTCATCGCCATGATCTATTTGGTGCATGTTGTTTTTTCCATAATAAAAGTCTAAAACTTTTATTGTTTCAGTTCATCACCAGACAATTAGATGGAAGGAATAAATCGAAGCCGGTCTCTTGCTCTTCAGACTTACATTTGATGGAACTATGGAAGGGCTTTATTATCTTACATGATCTTGATCTTGCTGGTATGTAAATGTGTGTTTTCTCAATGTTTATAGCAACTACAAGGGCCATCAGCATTTGGTCTCATGAAGCTCACTCATGGAGCCATGTATGGATTGACATCTGTTTATCCAAACAATTCGAGTAATTATGGCTTTACCTAAGCAACGTGTTGTCTACCAAATTAGTGAGGTGCATTTTTATTTCCTTCCTGCCATGTGGTTTAGTTTATGAACAATATAATTAACTTCCTGTCAACTTATGGGTGACCATGTTTTTTTTTTTTTGCGAGCAAAACATGAAACTTTATTAAACTGTAGAATTAGGGTTACAATCGCGGGCCAGAAGTTCGAAGACACGCTCCAGGGCCTGTAAGTGCCAGACTACAGACTCCTTAGTACGCAACGCTAGATGAGCGAGGATATGTTCCCATCAACATGTAGAATTACTTAAGTTCATTGTTTTTTTAAAAAAAACAAAAATGCTTCCTAATCCTACAATATGTTAATTATTCTCAAAGGTCCCGCGCGGGACCAACGCGCGGGGTACACCATCTAGTTAATATAGTTTTTTTAACCGCGGGAGCCTCCCTGCTGTGTTCCTTAAAGAAAAGGTTACGGTTAAATTGATGATGTTGGCCTATTACTATGGGTAATGCTAATGGGCGATCGATCGATCAACACCCATCCCCCTATACGCTCCTTTCCCCCCTTCCTTCTCCCCTTCTTCTCTTCCTACTACACCGTAAATTTAAAAAAAAATAAAAAAATAGTTAGAGAAATTTATTTATAGAAATGCTATATATAAAAAAATATTTGAATTTAAATTTAAATTTGAATCGGGTATATAAACTTTTGACTTATAAACCTTGGGTCTATAAACTTTAGATGTATAGAAAATACTACATATAAAAAATATTTGAATTCAAATTCAAATTTGAATTGAATATATAAACTTTTAACTTATAAACTTCGGATCTCTAAACTTTAGGTGTATAGAAATACTATATATAAAAAAATTGAATTCAAATTTAAATTTGAATCGGATATATAAACTTTTGACTTATAAACTTTGGGTCTATAAACTTTAGATATATAGAAAATACCATATATAAAAAATATTTGAATTCAAATTCAAATTTGAATCGGATATATAAACTTTTGACTTATAAACTTTGGGTCTCTATACTTTAGGTGTATAAACTTTAGATGTGTAAATTTGAGGTGTACAAACTTTAAGTGTATAAATTTACTAAAATATGAAAGTAATACGGTGCCAAAAAAAAAACCACGTGGACGAGAAGGGGGTGATCGCCCTGATCGCTAGGGGCGATTGATCGCCCATTAGACTTTACGTATTACTATTAGCGGGACAAGACAGAAGGAAGGTTCGATCGTGCAGATGTGCCGGTATGAATTTCACCAAAGCAGGGCCACACTTGAATTTGAATGTGAAGTGAGTGAGCCAGGATTAATGACTGGAAAATAACCCGCCATGAAACTATTTTTAGTGTACTTATATCCCTACTATGAACGAAGAAAGAGGACCAATGTTCCTTTCATAAGAGAAAACTATCGTTAGTGGCCGAACACTTCTTTACAACTTCATGTCCCCATATAAACTTGGAGTGATGCATCTTTTTTTTCTATTATATATACAGGAAAACAACTTTAGTCATATTATGATATATACAAGGGCTACGGGTAAACAATTGGGAGGTTGCAGGAATAACTTTAGTAGTATTATGATATATACGAGGGGTAATTTTATCATCGTTGAAAAAAATACCGGGAAGTGTCACACTTTCTAGTGTAAAATTTGGTGCCTCCATATACCAATACCTCGAGGTACCAAAAAAAATATAGTGTAAAATTTAGTTACTTCAAGGTACTTTTTCAAAAACTATAAAATTTCTCTGAATCCTTAACATGGTTGGTCAATTAAGATTGTAGTCCTTTCTCTAGGGGTGGGGGGGGGGGGTGGAATCTAATGGGCGGGTGATCGCTGGGAGCGATCAACCCGCCCCTCCCCCCTATACTCCTCTCTATTCTTTCCTTTTATCATAAAATTCAAAAAAAACACAAAGTTAGTAAAAAAATTAGAAAAAAAATAATACGCTCATTCATCTGCATAGACTTTATACCATAAACTTTGCACGCATAAACTTTATGTATGGAAATATTTTATATATGGCAAAAGTTGCTATAGGACATCAAAAAACGTGTAATTAGCTAGGGAACACTGTAAGAACGCGTATTTGCTGTAGGGCATCGTAAAAAAACTGGTTATTAGCTCCTAGACACCCGCGGCATTATTTTATTATTTTCGGAGGAATAAGAGAGAGAAACAGCTGTGTAAGTACGGTTCTACCCTTTGAATTATTTTTCTTTATTCTTCCTTATTCTTCTCTCTCTCATTCTTTCTCTCTTTCTCTCTCTGCTATTTCTTCAAGTGAGCCTGAGGGAGAGGGAGAGCGCTAGCGACGGCGTGGGCCGGTGTAGCGCCTCGGCTAGGGCGGCGCTGCGCGGTCATGCACAGGGGCCGGGGCCGGCACGACGCAGCGGAGGTGGCGCCAGAGCTGAAGAGAAAGTTGTGCCGGCGCGGTTGGGCAGCATCGGTGGGCAGGCAAGGGCGGCCGGGCTCGGCGGCGCGACCACACCAGGAGCGCGACTGCTCTAGGCTGACTTCGGGAGGCTGGACCGGATGGCGCTGGCGCCGGTGCGGCTAGGCTCAAGCCGTTGCTGCTGGCGCTCTTCTAGTGTGGGATCAGCACTTTGCACAAACCCGACACTCAGCCCGATGGCGACGCCCAATAACAATGTTGTAGCGGCAATGAGTGGGACTAAGGGCGGATCGGGCACGCCGTGCAGCAGTGATGTGGCAGCGTCACCACTTGTGGAGGAGGCGGCGGCATCGGCGGAGATGACGGCGGAGGCAGCAGCAGGCGGTTGGCGAGCGGCGCTAGGAAGCGGCTGCCAGCAATGGGTATTAGGTAGAGCTAAGGGCAATTTTGTATTTTTGAAATTTCTCTCTCCTCTTTTTATAAGAAATGATAAAATATTGTGTCGGGTGTCCTACAGCAAATTACACAAATTTTATGGTGTCCATCAGCAGCGACGCAATTTTACAGTGACTCCTAATCAATTACACAATTTTTGGGTGTCCTAGGGCAAATTTTTCCTTTGTATATAAAATATTTGAATCTGAATTTGAATTTGAATCGGGTATGTAAACTTTTGACTTATAAACATTCTCTTTACAAATTTTAGGTGGATAAGCTTTAGATGTGTAAACTTTAGATGTATAAACTTACTAAAAGAGAAAAATATAAAATATTTGAATTCAAATTTGAATTTGAATCTGGTATATAAACTTTTGACTTATAAACATTTGCTTTATAAACTTTAAGTGGATAAACTTTAGATGTGTAAACTTTAGGTGTATAAATTTACTAAAAGAGGAAAAGAAAAAAAAACGATCGCTGGCAGCGATCTATCGTCCGTTAGCCTTCTCGTTTCTCTAGTCATCATCCAGCAGCTACAAAATTGACCTATATATATGCAGCTCCATCCTATAAGCGTAGGGATGGGAACATAGAGAACTAAAATTACGGAGGAGAGAAGCTGTTCGTAGATACAGTTTCTTCATACCACTACTTGTTTGTATCCTGCATTGATCTTTCCTTTCCATTTAGCCATGCAACTTAGCTAATGAGAAGTAAATACTTGATAGTTTGCGACATGAGATGAGAATGGTAGGCATCAGGATGGAAAGCTGAACATTGTCTGAAATTGACACCACTGGTGAGCAAACTGAATCTTCTATCTGTCAGGACGGTCGCGGACCAGCAAAGGCGTGTTGGGCCGCAGCTCCAGCGGATTGGAAGGGCTGACCACCTCGGCGCTGGGATGGGGAGGCTGCGATTTCTGGCGAGAGAAGGTGTGTGCTGGCTAGGAGGACGCCAAAGGCAGGGTGGCAAGGATTGCAGACCACCTCAGCGTCCGCCTCTGCGCAGGGCGAGAGAAGGCACACGGTGGCTGGTAGGAGACCAGAGGCGTGGCAAAGCGGCGACAGTTGTGGACCACCGAGGCCTTTTGCAGCTGCGGGGAGGGAATGCAGCAGCGGCGATTGAACAGAGGGATCAAAGGGCAGCGACGGGCGGCGGTGAGGATGATTTGGCGTGGCGGGGATGGGGAGGATGCGCGACATGGGAGATGGATGGATGGATGGATGCAGTGCAGCGGGGATAGCGTGCTGATTGAGGATTTTTTGTGGTGGCGTGGATGCATGACGGATTGAATGCTGCGGAGATTTGGGCGTGAGAGCAGGGGCGGATTGAGGCGTGATGGAGAGGCTCGAGAGATACTGCGTTAACCGTGATTTCACCGGTTGGATTGCACAGGTAAAACTACTGCTTTTTATATTAATATGGATATAGAAATTCGCACTAATCCAAACACACTCATTAGAGATGCTATAGTAAAACAACCGGTGTCGGGGCAATTCTTCGAGATAGCGCTGGGAAAACCATCTTTGCATCCTGTAAGCCAATCGAGAGATGCAGTGAGGCACCGGAATCTGAAATCTTGGCATTTGTGGATGGTCTGTCAAAGGCAATTCAGTGGACTTCACTCCCAATAGTGGTTGAGACAGATTGTCTCATAGTTCTTCATCTTCTTGATAGCAAGGAGAAGGACCGTTCGATGTTTGCTAGCATCATTCAGGAAGCGAAGGCTCTTGTCGTTGGTGGTGGCAGAGAGATTGTCATCAGGAAAGTGAGTCGAAGTCAAAATTCAGTTAGCCACTTCCTCGCAAACAAAGCTAGGGTGGAGTCTTGCTTGGTTTTTTGTCGGAAGAAAATTGTAATCCTCTTTCATAGATAGTCTGTGGATTCATTGATCCTAAGTAATATATGTTTTTCTTCCGGCAAAAAAAAAATGTTTTTGGTAGGGTCCCAAATCAAACAAACCCAAAATCATCCTAATGTTATCACTACTGCTTTTCTTGGACAGAGATTTGAATTCCCTTTTACCTCCCATACCAATCATCATCAAATATTGCAGTAATATATATGAGTGATGAACCAAGAGTTTTTGCACTCTCTTTCATGTACCATGTATTCTTTCGGACATCCCTTTTGGTGGTGGAACAATATGGGGAAGGCTGTTCCTACCCACATGGTGATTGACTCAAAACATCACGCATGACTCCTAAGCTAGGAGAGAAAGGATGCTGGCTTCTTTCGTGTCTAAAGACTGGCTAGGTTAAATTTTCTGTATTAAAATAGTCAAAACATTATTGTGACTTTGGAAACATAGTATCGTAATTTGTAGAGTGCAATGTTTGTTTACTTTTTCTGTTTAAATTCTAGTTGTCTATTTAACCATGAAACAGTATGGTACACCAAAGTAATTATCCAA